AAATCACCTACATTAATCTTGGTTTGTGAATCTGTAGGGTTTCCCTTAATAACCGGTTATTTTAATTTTTGCCACTTTTTCTGAACTCTTCCTTTTCCCTCGCATTTCCTCGCCAGTATCCAAATTAAATCAAAGTGAATAAGAGTATTTAAACGAGCGGAAAGAGAAAGTTAGACAGAGCGTGATTTCGCTAATAGAGCGCACGTTGCTTTCTTAGTTGGCTTCTTAGTTGTTGCTACGCTTTCTGGCCGTTTATCTATCGCCGGTGTAGGTTGCTGAGTCACCCTGTTAATTTTAAAAATCCAGCATTTTTTTTTTTTTAATTTCCAATGGCAGATTATGAACAGTTACAGCAAAAAACAGGAATATAAAATACAGCAACACAATGAAAAAAAAAAAAAACAGCTGTAACAGAGTCCATTAATCTAACATTTCTCTTGTCTCCCAGTAACATTCGGCGAGAAAAGTCTTGCGCAGAGCAGGACAGTTGGGTAGATGTGCGGCGTCCATCACCTCTCCAGAGCTGCACAGAGTGCATATCGGAGAAGGAACAATTTTGAATCTATGAAGATGATATTGTAGGCAGTCATGTCCGGTGGCAAGGCGGAATTCAGCGACTGCTCTACGCCTTTGACTATTACACAAATTCTGCATAGCATTCTTCAAAGACTTATGAGAAACACGATGATAGAGATCTTCCCGAGCACGTACTTTGAAAGATCTTTTAATAAGATCCCTAACAGTATGGAAAGGCAAAGGACGAGAAATATTCTGCATGATTAAAGCACCCCCTTTTTGCCAAGAAGTCGGCTTTCTCGTTACATGGAATCCCACAGTTTGCGGGAACCCGCTGGAGGACTACAGTTTTCTCAAGTGAAGCCAGGTAATGTCGACAATTCAATATGTCTTGTGACATGGGATTTTTATCTGAAACGATGGCCAACAGAGCAGCTTCGGAATCGCTGAGTATAACAGCTCTTGTGAATTTCTCCAAGTGGCATGGCAGCTGGTACAGAGCTGTGTGAATTGCAGCAATTTCACAGTCAAACGCAGAACCTCGGCCCACAGGAATGTAGAAAGAGAAAATTTCGGAGAAAACTCCGGTACCTGCATTAGGCAGGAGGGATCCATCAGTAAAGATCCGAAGCCACTCTGGTTCATGGTAAAAAATGTTTAATACTTCGAAAGCAAGGGCTCTCAAAATAGAGGGATCCTTGGGTTACTTTTTGACCCAGGCCAAGATTAATCCAGAAAGATTTCAAATTTATTGGATTTTGTAGTGTAGCAAGTAATTCTGGTTCACTCATTAAATCAAGTGAATTTTTTAACTGAAAAATTCTCTGTAGAAAGCCCATCTGGGTCTTTAGATTTCTAGTCAGATCTTGATTGACTTCAATTCAGAGTGAAAAACATCCAGGAACTCCAATGATCTTTCCCCGGAGAATTAAGGCCTTCTCTTGAATAACTGTTCTTAAGGGTTTATCACCAGTTAACATAAATATTGCGTCAATCGGGGTGGTCTTCACGGCTCCAGAAACAAGCACTGATTTTGGATTTTTTTTCAATAGTATAGAGTATATTTTCCACGGCCACAATAAGTGGTTCACAGCAGTAAGGATAAACGAATTATAAGTTTGAAGCAGGGTTTGTCTAATGCAACCTCACCTAGCTCCAGCAAGGCGTTTAAGGACACCGAGTATAGTCCAGCACTAAGCTTTGCCATTTAAATTACTGTTAAATTATTTTTAAGTTTTCACCGCAATTATGCGGTATTATGGTGAACATGAAGTACGTGCATTTTTTGTTAAAGAGTTTAATCAAATAAAAGGGCAATTTAAATTCTTTCCCTGTGTGCTACTTCTTCACGTCTGTGCGAGAAGTCGCCGGCCTTATTACTAAGATCGTATCCTTTCACAATAGCTAAAAGAGGTAGATCTTACAAAACTACTGTTTAATTAAATAATTACTTAATAAATCGTATATTATATTAAAACACTTAAATACTAATTTTAGATAGGAAATTAAAGATGAGACTTCAAAGATCACATTAAGATGAATTCTTAGTCAATGTTATCTTCAATACATCATTAAATTAATGCTTTTACATTCCTATGAATCCTATGAATGAAGTAGATTTTTACATGTGTGAAGTATGGGTGACGCCAACCAACAAGATGTATAGAGGGCGCTCGCTCTCAATCTGAAGACGCCAAAAGTTTAGTTTCCAAGAGAGAGACCAACAGAGAGGTCATAGGGAAGGATCGTGGGAGCCATTAATGAAACCGAAATTAACTTGTATTACTTTATATATTACAGTTATTAGTATTGTAGTTTAGTATTAGTTTTGTGTTTGTGCAATAAATGTTCAAAAAGGTTGGAGGTTACAAAAGGGTTGGAGTTTTTTCTCTATGAGGCAGAGAATGAAGAAAGGGGTGATATTGTAAGGTTTTAAGTTAAACTAACCAAATTTCTTTTCATTTTATGTTACCCTTTCCTGTGAACTCTTATTTCAACTTCCCTTCAGAAGGAGCACGCGGTTCAGCTTTATGCTAATTTGTGTTGGAGCCAAGTTTTGTATTTAAAGGTTAGTGAGGAACTTCTCAAGTGTCAGGACTTAAGTGTTCTGTGTATACTTTTGGGTTTTCTGGTGGTTTCACCATGACTGCGGGTACAGATTTGTGCTGTGGGGGGGTCGAATTTTTTTGAGTTCAGGACCTTGATATTGTCACCATTATGTTTGCCAAAAGTATGCACAGAACACTAGGTCCTGACAATATTACAACATGACTTTCACAAATTTTTATTTCTCTTACTCAAATAGATTAAAGTTCATCAAAAGATGAACTAAAGAAACAAATGTTATTGATTTTAGAAAATAAAATGTCGTAACTTTTTACGTAATCATGTTAATATATTTTATAATTTGGGAATTTTAATATACAAAACATAAATCTAGAATTTTTAGTCAAAACTAGTAAGAATATTCAGCAATTACATCTCAGAAATATATGCAACGAATTGCACGAATATGCAGCACGAAACATTAAGTTGGACTACTTTACAGAATTAAATTCCGTAAGCTACTCTTGAAATGCTGTAGTCTACAGTGTGATAATAAATCATATAAAAATATAATATAATGAGTCATAGAAAAAGTGGTTAATTTTAATACCTTAAAATATATATATATATTTGGTTACAGCCGAAAACATTGAGGCAAAATCATCGCGGACGAAAACGTCGCGGAGAAAACAACGCAAGGCAAAAACATCGTGGGGAGAAAACATCGCAAAGAGAAAGCATCGCAGTTCTAAAACATCGTGGTACAAAATATCGTCGTCGAAAATAAAGCAATTCAAAAACTTCGCAGTGTAAAAACATCGTCGTCGAAAATATCGTGGTAATAAATAAAGTATCTACAAATCATCGCATGACGATAACATCACAGACACAGACATGCTTTTTTTCAGGCTTTGATAATTGTAAAGGGATATTTCCATAATGATTTGTGAGCGCAAGATGGAAAGAAGGATAATTTTTTACTTTCATATTTTTTATTAACTAATAAATTTTTGCTGAAAAAGTAAGAAGGAAATTTAAGCATAGAAAATTAAGGCAACTTATAGCACTTAATAGAATTTTAAACTGACATAATTAACTAACAAAGGTCATTACCAAATCATTTTTATAAAGTTTTTAATGGTAATTTTTCATTAAAAGTATAATCTAAAAAAGATTAGAAAAAGGAAGCTAAGTAACTGCATGACCTTATCTATAAAAAATTGCTAAATTAATTATGAGATTATTTTTTTACTTTTGTCAATATAATACTCTTATAATGAAAATTATTTCTTGTTCTGCTTCAGTTTATTCTTAAGTATTAAGTTTCTTTCTTACTTTTTCAGCAAAATTTTATTAGTTAATAAAATATATGAAAGCAAAAATTATCTTTCTTTCCATCTCGCCTCACAAATCATTATGGGAATATCCATTTACAATTATTAAAGCCTGGAAAAAACATGTCTGTGATGTTATCGTCTTGCGATGATTTTTCGATACTTATTTATCATCTGTCGATACTTATTTATCATCTGTAATTACTATACCATCTAATAACAAAATTTAATATTCTACAGTGTGCCTGCATGCTTCATGTATGTTTATATGCGCATTTTACATGTGATCTATATGTGTCTTTAGTGTAAGTGTATACTATATATTAGCTTAATTATGTTTCATTATAATATGTGTTTTACTTATATAAGTGTGTGCAAACTAGCATCTAATTTCTATTATTCTATAATGTGCTTACATATTTTATATGTGTTATATATGTGCTTTTATATGTGTTATATATGTGCTTTTATATGTGCTTTACAAGTGTTTTGTATGTATCTTTATATGTTCAAGTGTATGTACTTGTATGTGTATGTATATGCTGTAATTAGTGTTTAACAGTGTCTAACAAACCAAGATGTAACAAGTCATTCGCCTATCGATCAAAACTAATGTATTCTTAAGCCGTCTCTGTATGGCCATGTACAATTACGTAAAATTCTTCAATAAACTCCCGAGGTGGCCTCATGAGTTGATGCCACTAGATAGGGGAGGGCGCGGGACATATGCCTGTTTACCTCTGTTAAACATCAGGCGTCCCCATCCTCCGTCACCTGTCACCTGTCGATACTTTATTTTTTACCGCGATATTTTCGACGGCGATGTTTTTTAAACTGCGAATTTTTTGAATCGCTTTATTTTCTACGACGATATTTTGTACCTCGATGTTTTAGAACTGCGATGTTTTCTCTTTGCAATGTTTTCTCCCACGACGTTTTGTAGCAGACGTTTTCGCCTTGCGTTGTTTTCGTCCGCGATGTTTTTGCCGCGATATTATCGGTGGACCCCCCATATATTTAAATATATTTAAACTGCGCTAGGAAATGTTCTGTTCTTTGGAGATATATTGCTATTTATTTAACTGAATTTTTATTCTGTTATAGGTGAGAGCGCTTATATATATTGATTCTACTCAGGACAGAGAAGCCATACGTGGCTTCGTAGAGGAGTTCAAGGCGCGTGGTGAAGAATCTCGTCTGAAAGATGTCGGATTCGACGGTGGATCCGGAGATCTTAACGAAATTCGTGGAATGTTTAATGAGCTTCAGGTGCAAGGCAATATCTGGCAAGGTGACGGTAAATCTAACTGCTTCAGTCCTATCTACCCAGATGGCAGACTGAGAAGGGCATTAGACGTCAGAGATTCTGCTAACAGCTACATCAGTAAGGTATACCACTGGACTATAGATCTCAAGCTAAGGATGAGGCTGTCCCTGAATCTGGGAGTAGATGGAATGATTACCAATGATCCAGATGACTTAATAGAAGTCTTGCAAGAATCATATTATAGAGATGACTTTAGGTTAGCTACTCCTGATGACGACCCTTTTGCTCGCTTCTAGTGCAAATAAAAGTTTTATAAATCAAAATAAGAACACGGAAGTTCTTATTCTTATTTAACACATATACTTAAAATGTCTATAGTTTGCGTAATAAGATATATGATCCGGATATAAATCTTTTACATTTAATTTAACGCATTTAATCTCTTTATCTTCAAGGGAACTGCAGGCTGTCAGAAAGAACAATTTTGAAAATATGTGTCTTTTTTATACAGCATCACTTTATCCACGTGCAAAAGGAAATGAAAAAAAAAAAAAGAAAGAAGAAAGAAAAAAGAAAATAAACTTATTTTATTAAAAAAAAATTATTTTATTTTCTTAACGAAAGTGAACATTCTGGTCACACGCACATGTGGAAAGAAACTGAAAACATTATAAATCGCAGAGAATTTTTTTGTCCTCGTTTAGCTATAAGAGAAACATTGGAAATGTACCTTTTTAAGTGTGTCCTACTGTCAATAAAGTTGTAATTAGTAAGTTACTACAAGTATAAATCTCGACTCAAATTTCACTCACTTTATGTTGTAACGACGTAAAACTGGCTCACTAATAAAATTCTATTACGAGCGATGCAAATAAAGATTTTTTTGGTGTTAATAAGCATTTTAAAAGCTAATAAATCCTAGTGACCAAGTAAAAGTATTATTAAGATTCTCAGTATACACAAATGCCGACTATATCGTTTCCTCATTTTCTTCCTCGTCGTCGAATTTATAAAAGAGTTTTAAAGCTTTCTAAATTTCATGATAGGTTTTTTAAAAAATCTGATGTGTACACCACATGACTTCCTTGTATGAAATTATATGCACTTTTTTCCTGCATTTCATTTGAACTTATTTCCTCGAATTTCATATATTTCTCACTCCATTAATTCAGTTCTCATTTCGCGACAAGGCAAAAATACATAAAACCTCAAAATATCTTTATTAAAAATTGAAAAATATAGAAAAAATATAAAACACTAAATGCAGTTAAAACAATTTTAAATTTTTTCCCCCATTTAAAATTAGAGTTTCTGTCCAAAAACAAGCAATTCGGCCAGCGGGCAAGAAGGCATATTTTTCGGTGCAGAAAATTAAAAGTTTACTTTTCGACCACTCGGCAAAAAGGCACTGAAGGTGCAGAAACTGACTTAATTCGCTATTCTGCTAAGTTTCAAATATAAACAAATATGGCTGCTATGTAAAAAAATTAGGCTTAGCCGCACTTAACAACTTTCAAATTGTTGATAATTCTATAAATATTGCATGCAGATTAACTAAAGGCATAAGCACCTTAACCGGACGATAAGAACAGCATAACAGAGTCGGTATATATATATATATAGATAGATAGATAGATATACCTTTGGTGCTGCCGATTGCAACCAAAAAGCGAGGTGCACAACTACATGTTATAGCAGTCCTATACACAAAATTTCAACGCTCTGAGATTACTCATTTTTGAGTTATGCGAGATACATGCATACGTTCGTACATACAGACGTCACGAAAAAAATATCTTCTTATTCCATTTTAAATCCTTTTTGCAACCCGTTTTGGAGAAACGAGTCCTTTATTCTGTCCTTACGCACAGATGTTACGCAAAAACATAGTTAAATAGCATTCGATAGCGGTCAAAATGGATATTTTCGTTGAAGTACGAGACCCGAAAATTTTCGCGATTACAATACCTCCTTTATTTCGTACAAGGATGGAAGAATAAAGGACTCTTTTTCTAAACGGATTGTTAAATGGATTTAAAGTGGATTGAGAAGAGGTTTTTTTTTTTTTTTTTTTTTTTTTTCACGTAACAGCTGTACGTACGTATGTATGTATCTGCGTATATGGATGTACAGTAAGACCTCGCTTAAAGCTGTTTCGTTTAGCGCTGTTTCGGTTTAGCGCTCTTTTATTTCAACCCGGGGATTCCCCGAAATTGTGCGCAGCGCTAGGTTTTCAAATAACATATCCGAAACAGTGTAGTTGTGTTTCTTGTTTGGCTTGCGGTGCTGGTACGGACTCATTTTTATCATTTGAAACATTTGTTGACATTATTGTAAGTTTAAATTTGTATAATACTATAACGATTAATCCAGTGACAAATATTATGATCTTTAGCTTTTATTATGGGTGATAATAAAAAACAAGAAAAGAAAGCAACCAGAAAAAGCATTTCACTGGAAACTAAAATGCAAGTGATTAGAAGATTAGATTCTGGTGAACGTCAATCTGAAATTAGTACTGCATTGAATTTGGCAACTTCAACAATAAGAACAATTCTTAAGAATAAAGAAAAAACACTGTCATCGACAACTGCAACTACGTCGAGCTCTACAACTAAAATTACCCGTTCTAGAAATAACATTATAGAGGAAATGGGAAAACGACTATCTATATGGATTGACGACGAAATTGAACGCAATATGCCATTAAGCCAATCTATTATAATGCCTTCTTGACAAAAAGGCAGAAAATTGGAATCACAGAATAGACTGAATGATCTGACTGAGAATTTTATTTGTTTTTATAAGTATATTCGTTTATATTGTTTTTATTTTTGTAAGAAATAAATGTTTTGTTTTATTTTTATTAAAAAAATTATTAAATTTAATGCCTAACCAATTTTGTATCCATCTTCCCCTAACCCCATTATTTACATGTTAAGATAGCCTCGTTTAGCGCTGTTTCGCATTACGCTCTACTTTGATGGAACGTATCCCCCCGCGTTAAGCGGGGTCTTACTGTATGTGTCTCGCGTACGTACATATGTAGGTAACTCAAAAAAGAGTAGCCGTAGAACGGCGAAATTTTGCATATGGGACTGCTGTAACATGTAGTGCATTTCTTCTTTAAAAGTTTTTGAATTATGTTGTTCTTATGTTCCGGTTACGGTTTTTATGCGTTTAGTTAATCTGCATCTCTAGAAACATCAACAGTTTACACAAAAAGTCAACAGTTTATACACAATGAACAGAAAACAAAATTAAACATTTATAATTATTTTATTTTAATGTCTTGATGTACAGTTTTCTACAAAATTTTAATTTGTAACATAATCCCTGACTAAAGCGAACAATTACTGTTACAAGTCGGACGAGTTTCCGAACGCTAACATATAACTTCTTGAAAACTCTCGAAAGGCAAACTTTTGACAGTGGTTGATACTTTTACAGCTGACATTAATCAGTTCGTCTGATGATTCTCCGCAGGTGTATGTAGTAGTGGGTGGTAAAAAATAGTGCTTACACTTTTCGGTAGATTCAATGAAAAAACACTCCACACTTTTCAAAAACTTTGTTGACAAAGCTGCCGACCCTTAACGAGGCCGACATTTGTTTACATTTGAAACTCTTATTAGAACAGTGAATTAAGTGAACAGTGTACCAACTTCAGTGCACCAACTTTTGGCTTTTGGGCCAGTGGTTTTCTTCTTTGAAAACGTTTCTTCTTTGACTTTTCCCGATAACTTAAACTCGGATATTTGTACTTTTTTGATCGAAACAACTAATCCATTAATTAATTTGCTTGCGCGAAAAAGATATTTTCTTCTAATTTAAAGTTTAAAGAAATTTAAAACGATATTCGATTCACGAATTCTTGATAAACGTGGTCTTCGAAGCCAGCTTCGAGCTTTGGCGACAGATATTTTGCGCATGCGTAGCTGTTTCCCTCTACGTTGGAAGGGAGCCACTCCTGTTGCGGAGAAGTTTTCTTTCTTAACAACGCATATTCTTTGGCTTAAGCCCGACCCACCAGCGGCCGAGCGGTAAAGTCGCTGAACACTGGTAGTTCGGTCCGAGGTTCGAATCGGCGAACGGGATGGCTGCATGGGTGTTTTCGTGGTTTTCCCCATGTGTAACGTGTATACGAGCCAGTTTCCCTTAGAAAGTCCTCCACAAAGGCATCCCTCCCCTTAGGCAGATAGCCCTAGTGTGCTTTGCCATAATTAAATACACCACACCACACCTTGGCCTAAGCCCACGAAAATCCTCGTGGCAAAGAGCGCTAAATTACGACTGCCTTTGGCAACAGCCTTGAGCGCCATTCAGGTGACAATGGGATTTTTGCTCAGTTCCGCCCCCAATTTTCATGGAGATCACCTCGGGGGACGGGTCCGAGGGTCTCCCACCCCCACGCCCTTCCACCAAATCCCACGAGAGGCTCGTGCCGCCATGTCGCACCGACACTATACATTTACGAACATGCATGCATTCCCCGGGATTCGAAGCCGAGCCCTTCGGCACAGCAGTCAGCGACGCTAACCACTATACCCGGTTGGACGGCACATCCGCTTCTACAACTAGAAAAGCTAGCTTTGCTGTCTCATATTTAAAACTTGCGAAGAATACACAGATTTAATGAAAAAATTTTGTCTGGATCTATGAATTATTAACCAATTTACAATTACCAACAATACACTTAATACAATTATGATTAAAAAAAAAACAGCCATAGGGTTTTTTTTTTTTTTTTTTTTTTTTTTAAGTCCAAAGGGATTTGAATCCCGAAGGACTATTAGTTTCGTTTTGGCATTTTGCGTCGGACTCATAAATGTCGGTTCACTTTTCAAACTGTTGCCACGAAATGTTAGAGTCCTGCATTATATTTGAAGAAATTAAATAATGAAAAATCTGCATAAATGTATGTATATTTCTCGTTTTGTGATAAAACAACGGTACATAGAGTCATCGAATTTTGAATAACGTAATCCTCCAACGAATATGAGCATGTGGAAGACCAAATTTGAAATTTGAAATTTGAAATTTGTTTTATGATCGATTTCCTATTTTTAAAACTTTGACGAATTTTCGATTAACAAACTCAAGGATTTCAAAGCGAGCAATGGCAACGTTGTGCAGAAAAAAACATTTTTATCTCCAGCGCGTGTGAGTCTCTGTATCGGAAATTCTAAAGATATGCTCGTTTTAAAATTATTTTGCGATATTGCTGTTGCACTGGATCTTATGGTTTTTAAGTGCGAGGAACATGATATTTAATAAAGAAAGGTAACACACAAAATGTTAAAAAACGCCCCTTTGGACGTAATTTAAAATCTAAAACATTTCAGATTTTTTTTTTTTTTTTTTTTTTTTTTTTTTTCCATGAAGGTTTTACAGTTGTCCTACCATATTTAATTTTAACTCTCTTATCAGGAACTTTAATGTCTTTCTAGCATGAGTATTAATTTTTTTAAAGATAAAAGCATACTGTTATCGTCCATCCCACTTAAAGCATACAATCGTTGCACTGGATGGATCCATTCACCCGCAACTGTTTCACCTTTGCAACTTAAACATAATTAAATTACCTTGACTCTGAAACAGCTCAAGAACTTGGACCGAATGTCTAGTCCAACCTAAGTAATGAAATACAGCAAGCAATCCACCTAAGTAATCAAGTAAAATAGACAATCTATCTCAGCACGAAAGCATTTTTTCACTTGATGATCAGAAGGTAAAATTAGGACACACGAAATTAACTGTATCTTCTCTTCGAAGAATTTTCGTCATTAG